AATTGATATTCCGGTGTCTGATTTTTCATTAAAATTTGGAGTGAATTTATTGGTTTTTATTCGTTTTATCCGAGTCTAATAGCAATTGTGTGTATGTGGACTCTGCGTCTATTGTCTCTGATATAACAGAATCTCAAAATTTATTAATTAATAACTCAGCAACTAATCGAGCTAGACAATTGATTTTGTGTATGCAAGTATATCTTTTCACTCGCTAATGAACAGTGCATTCAGAATTTGTCCAAGTTATTGTGGAACGAATTTCACTCTGAGAACTTATCATGCAAAATTTAGTTGGAACGGTATCAATTTTGACACTAAATAATTTATTTCTCAGTATCTAGATGAGATAATTGGCTCATTCTTTCACGTACAAGTCAGGTTTTAAGCCTTCTTTCTGAAAATTTTATTAGTTTTGTCCCCAGTTACTCAGGAAAAATTTCAGCTTAAAAAAGTGACATTCATTGGGTTTGTTGCAACTGTTTCGACATGAAATCTGTACAAGTCTGTAACTTTCAGACTATTTGCTCTACATTAATGATTGTAGGCTCATTAGTTTCGGTTTTTCGTCTACTTGTAGGATTTCTAAGTAGGAATTAGGCCTGACGCTTGGAACATCCTGCACTATACTATAATTGTTGGATTTTTCTTGTCGCTGAGACAATAAGGTTATATATTAGCTTTAGCGTGATTCCACCGTGTCAGTACGTCGGCTTTTTCTTTTTGGGAAACGTGGGAATTACTTATATTAATATTGTTTGTTACAGAGAATGAACGAGTTGCCGTATTGCACCTAAATATTAGGTTTAATAAAAAGAAATCCATTATTTTTGCATGAAATTGAATGCTTTAATTACCATAGTTAGAATGATCCGATTTAGATCAAATATGAGCCGTTTTGTTCGATAACTTGTTGCCATTTTGAAGGTAATTTCATTATGCCTCTCTCATAGAAGCCCTCGTCCCTATTGGCAAAAAACTGAGACAGTCGATTTTCACAAGACTCTCTTGAAGCGAATTTTTCACCAGCAAAATTGTTCGCCATGGAGAGGAATATGGTAATCACTTGGTGCCAGGTCCGGACTATAAGGTGGATGCATAAGAACCTCCCAACCAAGCTCCCGGAGCTTATGGCGAGTCACTATCGATGTGTGTGGCCTGGCGTTGTCCTGATGGAACACAATTCCTCTCCTATTGGCCAAAGCTGGCCGCTTCTGGGCGATTGCTTCCTTCAGACGGTCCAATTGTTGACAGTACAGTTCCGAGTTAAGAATTTTGCCGTAGGGGAGCAGCTTATAGTAGATAATTCCCTGCCAATCCCACCAAACATACAGCAAAACCTTCCTGGCCGTCAATCCTGGCTTGGCCACCGTTTCAGCCGGCTCACCGCGATTCGACCACGACCGTTTTCGCTTGACGTTGTCGTAAGTGATCCACTTTTCATCACCAGTGACCAAAAATGGGCTTCAGAAATGGGTAGATTTTCTTGCGATTCAGCAGCGATTCGCTGCTGGAAATTCCATGAGGTTTTTTTTCGTTAACTCGTGTGGCACCCATACATCGAGCTTCTTTTTGTACCCAGCCTTATTCAAATGGTTCCAAACGGTTTTTTCTGCAATCTTTAGCTCTTGGGCAACCGAAACAGTGCTTACATGACGGTCGGACTCGACAATGTCCATGATTTTATCGATATTTTCGACAATTGGCCTTCCAGTGCGTGGTGCATCTTTGACATCAAAATTACCGGAACGGAATCGACGAAACCAAAATTGCACGTGATTGGCTGTTACAGTATCAGGACCATAAACACTATTCACATTTTCAGCCGCCTGGCTTGCGTTTTCGCCTTTATAGAAGAAAAGCTGTAAAATATAGCGTATTTTCTTTGCTAGTGTCCATTTTTGACGCTCGCTCAAACAAAACTGAGTCGACTAATCACAAAACTATCACAAAAGTTTTTTTAGTACGAAATCTCATCTTTCTAACGCCATCCAGTGGAACCCGATCGGACTTATACAACGCGAGATACAGATAACTAAGGCCATCTATTGGAAAAATAATGGATTTCTTTTTACTACATCAGATATATATGTATATTTATATATTATTCTAAATATATATTTTGTATTCCTTTTTAAAATATAGTTATATCTTATGTATGTACAAGTGTGTTATAGGGATTTTTCTATTATTAATTCCCTTTGGATTTTGCTTTTTGTTATAATGACTAACTTTTGATAAATCCATAGTAGTTATTAATCATGAATCAACCTCGATAAAAGTTATAGCTCATGCGTGTGTAAGCTGTAAGTGCGTAACTGCACTGGATATAGAGCCGACTATTAGCTACGAGCGTTAGAATCAAGATATTGCGCATGTGTCGATCCTCGTGAGAGAATGAGCTCGTCGAAAAGAGGAGAAGACGGAGAGAGAGAGAAAAAGTCGGGAGTCGAGAGAATCGGGAGACAAACGTCGAAGAGTTAGGTCGTATATTGAATATTGTCGAGAAATAGCGAAGAGAGCATGTCGATTTAGTAAAGCCGTCGAAATTGTGATTATATACAGTGTACACGATTTATCTGAAGACATTGAAATATCTCGAGAACTGTGCATTGGATAAAAAAAGTGGTTAATGAAAGTTGCTAGTCTCGAAGGGGGACATCCAATGATATCAAACTCGACCTCCCACCCCACCCCCTGCGGGTGGGGATTGGGGGCAACTTTGAAATCTTAAATGGAAACCCCCATTTTTATTACAGATACGGATTCTACGTCACAAAATACGTAAATTTTGTCCGAAACTTTTTTTTTTGATTCGTGATAAATGGTGCTGTAATCGCAAAAAATTATATTTTCCGCAATTCTCCAGAAATGATCATTGGATTGAGAAATAAAAAATACCTGTTCAATATTTTTAAAGAACATAATAAAAGTTATTCCCCCCCATTCTCTCGGGATAGGGTAGGTGTTAACGTTCAAATCTCAAATGGGGACCCACATTTTTCATTGCAGAATTAGATTGTATGTGAAATTTTTATTGAAACAATTTTTTTCATTCGTGATAGATAGCGTTGAATTTTTCCGAGAAACTACTTTTAGCGTTACATAGGAACAACGACGAGGACGTAGTTTTATGTTCCCTTCGGGTGCTTTTTTAATGTGAGTCCCCTTGCCTCTCACTGTTCAATTAATTAGAGTAGGTGTTCGAAATTTTTACCTTCAACTTCAATACACTTATTGATCCTTTTTTCAAATGACTGTACACAGGATACCTGCGGGAGTTTCAGCGCAAGCGTTTCTTATGCGTTCTACCATGTTTTCACGAGTTGTTGGCACTTGTTGATAAACCTTATTTTTTAGGTTGGGTTGATAAACCTTATCTTTTTAACTAACTTTTATTATGTTCTTTAAAAATATTGAACAGGTATTTTTTATTTCTCAATCCAATGATCATTTCTGGAGAATTGCGGAAAATATAATTTTTTGCGATTACAGCGCCATCTATCACGAATAAAATAAAAGTTTCGAACAAAATTTACGTATTTTGTGGCGTAGAATTCGTATCTGCAATAAAAAATGGGGGTTTCCATTTAAGATTTCAAAGTTGCCCCCAACCCCCACCCCTAGGGGGTGGAGTGGGAGGTCGAGTTTAGTATTATTGGATGTCACCCTTCGAGACTAACAACTTTCATTAACCACTTTTTTTTATCCAATGCATAGTTCTCGAGATATTTCAATGTCTTCAGATAAATCGTGCACCCTGTGTAGGAAATTGTGTGTTGTATTTAAATATACTTTATTGAAGAAAAGCTGACTATCTAATACATTTCCTTGTTAGTCTCTTTTCGCCGTACGCTACACGCTGCTACGTTTATTCCATACGAGGATCCGGATACCAATCCTTGAGCATCGACAACCTTCTAAGAAAGGGACAGCCTGACACCCCTTTCCTGGATAGAGATCTTGTTCGACCTGTAGAATCCTAAAGAGATCTTACAGCCACATATTTTTCAGAAGTGGGATCGCAGCTCGCACTTTAGACCGCTTTGTGCTCGTCGCGAGAGTTTTTGTCGGTTGTATCCGTGAAGCACGTGATCACGAGAATCTGAACGTGTGATCCATCGGACACGTACTCAGTCGCGATACGTAAACAGAAGTTTTGTCCGTCGGCACAAATTTAGCAAGATCTCTGTGAAGGTAGGAAAATGAATCGAGGTTCATTGGATCAGATGACTCTGGAACAATTAAGAGAGGAGGCGTTAGCATATCAATTGCCGTACCTAAACGATAGGAATGATATTATCGATGCAATCATGACGCACCTGGAAAGACATGCCCCGGTAGGTAAGCTGCTTGGAGGTGATTTTCGGTCGAACACTGGAGTGAGACAGAGCGAACAACTACCTATAGTACAACCGCAATCTGCCCAGGCGGAAGAACAACAGTTTACTCCAGCCGTGATGCAGAAGGTTCTAACGACGGTTATGGAGGGTGTATTTGACTGTCAGCAACGTTTGCAGTAGCAACAGCAGCAGTTCCTGCAACAGCAACAACAACAGATAGAGCTTTTGGTAAGAGCTATTACTACCAATCGAGGAGCACCGAACGCGCTGACAGATAATTGTACAGCTCCGGTTGCTGGTAACGACGATCCGTCGGGAAGTCGTACGATATCGAGTCCTAGTTCAGAGCAACGAACGAATACTCAAGTGCCGCCGCGTTCGAGAGAAGATATGCAGGGACCAATTGCTATATCAAATGTCGCGTCACAGATACCTGAGTTTTCTGGAGCCGAATTTGAGAGCGTGACTGCATGGGTACAGCGAGTCGACCATGTCGCACAGTTTTTGCGAATTCCGGATATGATGACGTTGTTAGCCGCATCTAGCCGGCTGATAGGATCAGCTCGTCGTTGGTACGATACCTTATCCGGAACAACGTTAGAATCGTGGATATCGGTGCGCCGAGAAATTATAAAAATGTTCGATAGACAGTTACCATTCTTTAAGTTGATGCAGAAAATAGAGGCGAGGAAATGGCAACCACAAAAGGAGACTTTTGATCAATATGCTCTAGATAAGCTAGCGTTGATGCATCGCCATAATTTTTCGATAGGGGATGCTATTAATTTATTGGCTGGTGGAATCATGAATAGTTCCTTAAGAGCCACTGCTCTCGCGATCCAGGTTGAGACCACTGATGAATTTCTAGAAAAGATGAGGCTGATCACTGAGGGAGTAGCCGACTTAGATAAACGACCACAGGCGTCTACAAACATTTCTAAAAATAAAGATGTTCTGTGTAGAAATTGCCGACGCACAGGTCATTCTCACCGGGAGTGTCGAAGGGATGCTTCTTGCTTCTACTGTAAAGAAAAGGGCCATCGTCAGTACGAATGTCCAGCCTTGCAGAGGAGAAATGGCAGGACGCAGACGGCGGCTAAACCACCGTCGAATACCGCCACAAGCAACGGAATGTCGGGAACAGTCCCTAGGGACGCAGTTGCTATCGTCGAAGAAAAGGGAAGCCGATTAGTCATCACCAACCCGTTTGTTAAAGTTAACAAGCTGGGCGGTAAGCAATGTGAACTATTAGCGCTGATCGATACAGGAAGCCCCGTATCGTTCATAAAATTGGAAGCGTATTTGCAGTATGTCGAATCGTCGCATTTAGCTTTACAGCCGTCGAGTCGATCACTTAGAAATTTAAGTAACCAAGCTATAGATATTGTCGAAGTCGCAAAGACAAAGATAGTAATTCAACCGTTGTCAGAAATAGAGTTTGAAATTGATTTATTTGTATTATCGGACGATACATTTGAAGGTGATATAATAATAGGTCGCGAATTTTTGTCAAAGGAAAATTTGACCTTAGTCTATCGACCAGAGGCCGAAGTAGAGAACCGTGTAACTTTATTTACATTGTTGCCTTTATGTATCGAGGAAACCACTGAGTCGAAATCGCTAGAAGAAATTCTTGACGAACACGCAGTGGATTTCGGACATAATTCGAGGGAAACCGGTTGAAATCGGTAATAACAGATATAGAAAAACAAGATATCACGCCGGTAGATGATGGTTACTCGGTACGAGTACATCTAAAGGACCCGTCTGTTTACGCTTACGCACCGCGACGCTTAGCATATTCCGACGCTTACAGATTCGAGAAATCGTCGATGACCTTCTACAAAGAGGCATAATACAACCAAGTGTGTCACCGTATTGTGCTAGAATCGTTCCGGTAAGAAAACGTTCGGGTAAATTAAGATTATGTATAGACCTTAGACCGTTAAACCAAAGAATTGAGAAGCAAAAGTATTCGTTTCCGCTCGTGGAGGATTGTCTAACGAGACTTGCAAACAAATCAGTTTTCACATTATTGGATCTGCGAGACAGTTTTCACCAGATCAAAGTACATGAGGAGGATATGAAGTATTTTGCTTTCTCAACGCCTGATGGGCAATATGAATACCGGTATTTACCTTTCGGGTATAGCGAAGCACCTGCAGAATTTCAGAAACGGTTAATCAAATCTTGAGTCCGTTGGTACGGGAGGATAAAATATTATTGTATATCGACGATATCCTTATTCCGTCAGAAACTGTTGAGGAGAATCTAGAAACAATAAGGAACGTGTTAATTCTTCTGCGAAGGCATCGATTTGAGCTGAATTATAAGAAATGCAAATTCTTACGTCGCGAAATAGAATTTCTGGGATACGTGATTTCAGCGAACGGAATTATTCTCAGTCCTCGACACACTGAAGCAGTAAAAAACTTTAAATGTCCACGCACAGTAACGCAGGTGCAGCAGTTCTTGGGTTTAACAAATTATTTTCGTCGATTCATAAAAAATTATTCGCTGATAGCCAAACCATTGCAAGGATTATTAAAGAAAAATGCTACTTTTGATTTCGATGCAAAGTGTATGGAAGCATTTGAATCATTAAAAAAAGAACTTAATGTTTTTCCAATTCTTCGCTTATATGATCCAACTGTAGACACTGAGCTGTATACAGACGCATGTGCTCTGGGTCTTGGTGCAATTCTTTTGCAGAGACAAAAGGACGGGTGTTGGTCGCCCATAGCTTATTTTAGTCAGTCTACAAATGAAGCGGAAAAAAGTATCATAGTTTTGAATTAGAAATGCTTGCCATCGTAAGAGCCGTTGAAAGGTTTCATTTATACTTGTACGGTATCCGGTTTAAAATAGTTACAGATTGCAATGCATTGGTATATGTAATAAAGAAAGCAAATTTGAATCCGAGAATCGCGAGATGGACACTCGCTTTACAGAATTACCTGTTCGATGTTACTCATCGTCCTGGTAAGCGTATGACGCATGTTGATGCTCTTAGTCAAAGTGTTGCTTATGTTAATGAACTGCCAGTAGAAAGACAACTGGAATTTTGTCAGCTTTCCGATCCTAGAATTCTAGAAATTAGCCAACAGTTAGAATTTAATGACAGCGAAAAATTTCAATTAGTCAATGGGTTAGTCTACAGAAAACAGGGTGATGATTTAAAGTTCGTGATACCGGAAGCAATGATTCCTAAGCTTTTACGTGCACATCATGATGAGATGGGACATTGTGGATCAGAGAAAACTTGGAACGGCATTAGCAGTAATTATTGGTTTCCTACGATGAGGAAAAGAATCAAAGAATATATAGATAACTGTCTTACTTGTCTAATGGTGAATAGTTCTCCACACAACTTGTAAGCAGAAACTCATTTATATCCTGCTCCAAAGACGCCACTCGAAGCCTTATATTTAGACCATTTTGGACCATTAGCTGCAACAAGCGATAAATATAAACATATTTTAGTGATGGTAGATTCATTTATTCGTTTTACGTGGTTGATAGCCACAAAGACCACTGCAACTAAGGAGGTGGTAGAAGCACTGCAACAAGTTTTGGATACGTTTGGTAACCCTAGTCAAATAATCTCAGACAGAGGCATAGCATTTACCTCTAAGGAGTTTTGTGACTTTATGAATCAACGTCAGATTACGCATAGAAAAATTGCAGTTGCTTCACCTTGGGCAAATGGCATAGCAGAAAGAGTAAATAGGTTCTTGAAAAATTCATTGATTAAATCAATCAACGCGCCAGATAAGTGGAAAGAACATTTGGGAGAACTACAATATATAATAAATAATACTCACCATTCAGCAATAAAGACAAGTCCTTCTAAGCTGTTACTTGGCTACCAACAGCGCAATCATTCTGATTTTAAGTTGTCGCACTTCACCAAAGTTTTGACTGATGTAGATGTCGATCTGGAAAAAGAAAGGGATAATTTAAAGGATTAAGCGTTGCAAGCTACTGACATATTGCGAATTTATAATAAACATTACCGAGAATCAAAATCGAAAATACCGTCGAAATATAATGAAGGAAATTACGTGTTAATTAGAGATCTCAGGTCTAAGCCAGGGGAAAGTACAAAATTGAAACCTAAGTACAAAGGTCCTTACCTAGTCGCTAAAGTTCTGGGAAACAGCCGATACGTCATACGTGACATTCCGGGTTTCAACCTCACATCTAGGCCGGTTGATACAATTATGTCTGCGGACAAATTAAAACCGTGGGTGAAACCGATAATGTGAAGAAATTTATATTAGTATTGATATAAACGATATGTATTAAGAAACATTTATTGTCTAGATATGTCGAAACGTTAATCGAAAAAAAAAATTTATGATACAGTTATAGGTTAGAAAAATATAAAAAATATAGATTTAAGTATCAATGTAAGCCGTTTATCATTAAGCATTCCGTCGAATTAAGGAAATTAGAGATGCTGATCATGGTAGAGCCAAATAAACTGTTGTCGTACCTCCCGCGTTAACTTCGGGACGAAGTTAATGTCAGAATGGACGAGTTGTAAGGTGTAAGTTCGTAACTGCACTGGATATAGAGCCGACTATTGGCTACGAGCGTTAGAATCAAGATATTGCGCATGTGTCGATCCTCGTGAGAGAACGAGCTCGCCGAAAAGAGAAGACGGAGAGAGAGAGAAAAAAACGAGAGTCGAGAGAATCGGGAGACAAACGTCGAAGAGTTAGGTCGTATATTGAATATTGTCGAGAAATAGCGAAGAGAGCGTGTCGATTTAGTAAAGCCGTCGAAATTGTGATTATATATAGGCAATTGTGTGTTGTGTTTAAATATACTTTATTGAAGAAAAGCTGGCTATCTAATACATTTCCTTGTTAGTCTCTTTTCGCCGTACGCTACACGCTGCTACGTTTATTCCATACGAGGATCCGGATACCAATCCTTGAGCATCGACAACCTTCTAGAAAGGGACAGCCTGACACCTCTTTCCTGGATAGAGATCTTGTTCGACCTGTAGAATCCTAAAGAGATCTTACACATGTCTCGGCTTATGAATTCGTAGCGGAGTGTTTATTTTATCGAAGATATAAACAGTACCAAGCGGTGCCATGAGTAGTATGCGTCAGATCTTTCGCAGCTTAACTTACGTTGGTTTAGTAGGTGAAATATTATAGGATTGTTTGGTCGTTTTATCCGGCAATTTGGTTAGTGTAAAGATTATTAGCGATATACAATAAATGTTGTAATGTTAGTACTAGTGTATATTCAATATTAAAAACTACAGGAACAGGTTTTAAATTATACTCGTGATATGGCGTCTGTGGATGATACATTAGCTTTATGACTGTTGCCTACTATGATGTTTCCTCAGTGTTAATATAATATATTTTTGATATTTTGATTGTAATTTTGATATTATTTTATAGTGACAAATTTAGAAAAGAATCAGATGGGCGCTAATGAATTCACCCGGCGGCCATGGCGCTGTGGCGACGCCATGTACCTCAAGGTTGTCTTGGCGTTCCGGGTTAGGCTTAACGTTATGCTTGTCCCACCATTTTGTTGTACAGGTGAATATAAAATTTTAAAGTTTTGATCTGTCGCAGTTATTATTAACATAATTTCCTTGTATTATGCATTCTACTCACGAGCTTAAGAATAAGAATATAAAATATAACTAGAGCTAGTAATAACTACATAAGTTAAATGGTATGTGTAAGTGCATTATGGTTAACGATATTGTATGATTTAATTAATAAGAAAAGTGCATTATATTATGCATTATATGAGGATTTATGCATTATGGAGGGTGTTAAATAAGAAATTGTGACATAATATACAATATATTTTTCAGAATTTCTTAACTTGTAAGCTGATCAATGAAATGGACTTTTAGCTAGTGTTTTGAAAATTCTCAAAATAATTTACCAGAATATGTTATAAAAATTTAATGTTCTATTTAGAAAATTCTGTTGACCTAGGCCTAGCGTTGGTCGCATTTTCTGCAAAAAGGGACATTTCTTTTATATGACTTCTTTTATCTATATGTATTCTTATTTACCAAGTAAATTTTATTACAAGTTTTTATACTTCTTCAAATTTGACAGATACGTGTATATATATGTCACTTCAAATCAATCACCCTGTACATGTATATAAATACGCTGATATATATATGTGTGTGTATACATATAAGTGTGAGTTAGTGAATAAGCAACTAAGAGTGTGAATGTATTAAATATAATATAGGTCTGTGAAAACTTTGATTTATAACAAAATATAATTGTTTCAGATATAACATGCAAAGTGGTCACACGAGATGCTCGATGTGGGTAAAGTGTCGCAAGCTGTATGTATTAGTGGGGGCTTGGGGGTTCCCCAGTTTCAGGTTTGACATTTTTTTGCTACTAAAACTATTTGTTCTTTAATATATCTCTTAATTGTTAACACTTAATGAATTTTCAGTATAGCTATTAGGTGGAGGCTTTTTATACTTCTAGTAGAAATTTGAATCGTAGTTCTTAGTTTTATGATTACTGAGATATATCGAATTTCCTCTGATTGATAAAAATTTTGAGTGGCTATAACTTTTAAACTATTGATTTTACAAGATTTCCGTCAATACAAAATTTGTAGTATTTTAAAAGGCCTTTCGATTGCGTTCATCGATTTGGTCAAATTGTTATAGTCTCAAAAGATATACGCTTTCATTCTTAATTTTGACCGTGAATAAACATTTTGGATGATTAAAATTAATCATGTTTCTTGTTAGCTTTCAGGTTTTAAGGCGAAAAAATTATAATGGAAGAGAGCACGTCGTGGGACATTACACTTTGATCGGATTCGATTGCGGAGGACAATCTTTGAATATAACAAC